TTTGTTTTCCTCGCGCAAAGGCGTGAGACACGCACCAAGCATCGTCTGCTATCGCTCCTCACGTTGATCTATTCACTATCCTTCTCAAATTGTGTGATATACTGTGTACTGTTAAGTTTGGCCTGGAAATTCGTCAGGGCAGACGCCATTGAGCGTAAGCCGGTCCACTAGGGAGGCTCTCAATCCCTTCAGCACCTAGTCTGCCAGACGCTGTCGAAGATTTGAGTAATTACCCAGACAATGCGGCAAGCAAAGGCGAGTTCCCGTCTTTTAAATACAGACCCTTTTGTCGTACCTTCGAGCAGCAGCGGTGCCTGATGACCTCGGTGATTCATCTGGCGACGGGGAAGCTGTTGTGACCGGCGCCAGGGCTGACAGGAGAGCGGCGCTCCTTTTGATCCCCAATCAAGTAGACGACCGGCCGGCTGCCTATGCTCATCAGGCATTGTTCGTGATGGCCGGAGGATGAGACGTCGTGTCGCCAAGACGCCGTTAACCGTTCGAGAGAGGCCAACAAAGACAGCATCTTCCTGGAAGAGACCGCAGTGGCCACCGCAAATCACCAAGCTAATTAAGCGAACAAAATTGGCGGACCCTTTGATGTATGCTGTCCGGATCGTGGGACCTCTCGACTAGCGGCACACACACGACGAGGAAGAGCCCTGCTGGCACCACCTCGCAGTGCAGTGTTCACGACTCAATATTGGATGTTCACGTGGACCGTGCATGCTCGTCCCCCTCACCTGTTGTGTGTGTGTGATTGGTGTTCCACTCGGAGAGGAGGAGCCCAGCAGGGCTTAAAACAACGCCGCAGAGTGCTGGACGTCGCTCTGAACTATGTAACGGTTCAATCATTACGCTCGTGGTTTGTGAAACCACTAACCTTTCTTTTCTGTAAATATGCGTAAATAGTGCCATAAACCTGTTTTGTTTTTCATATTCCCTTCTCGTCAGCGTTTATTTCCTCCACCCGGTTACACCACGCTACCACAAGAGACCGGGTAGTCCCCCATTCGCAACATTTGGTAGCAGCGGTGGGATGCCATCAGCAGCTTCCTCCTACTTCCGACCCTTAACAACTGGTTGGCAGCGGTGAGATGAACTTCACGACATGGTGCTGTGCTGTGGTGAGTGCTTGGTCTTTGCTATAACTTTCCAGGCTTCATGTTGCGAGTGTGAATTGATTAGAAGCCGGATTGCGTGTGCGTTAGGGGATCACCTATTTGTGAGTTAGAGGGATCACCCAATTATGTGTGAGATGCAGGACCAAAGTACAACGGCATTCATGGCGTGGAAGGCAATACTAAGAGATGAACTTTTGGCTGTGAGTAAGCATCTAGGCATTGAAGTAGAGGAAGGAATGGGTAGGACAGTGATTGTGAGGCTGATCTCCCAAAAAGCCAGTGAGGAGGAGATTAAAAACGCGGTAAAGATTGTAGAAAAACAGGAAATGGAGGAGCGAGAAGGAGAACAGGAAAGAGAAGAAACGGAAAGAAGGGATAGGAAGGAAAGGGAAGAAACAAAATGAATGGAACGAGAGCAGGAGAGAGAGCAGTGGGAGGAAAGCCTGAAATTAAAACAGGAAGAGAGAAAAAGATCAGTACAGTGCCTTAGAGCGTCTCAAGTAAATTCTAGAATCCATGCATTCGAAGAGGGTGAGGATTTAGAGAGTTATTTAACCTCTTACGAGAAAGTTTGCAGAGAACTAGAGCTCGACGAAGACTATTGGTTTATCACCTTATTGAGTGTCCTTCCGTACAACTTGATGGGTAGGATACTCTACCTTTCCGAGGAACAGTTCAATAGGTACGATGTAGCTAAGGCAGCTTTACTGCGGTGCTTCGGCATCAGAGTTGACAGAAAGCGAATTGAGTACAAGCTCACGAACGCTCCCGTGAAGAACGCGCGACGTTGTGCTGGTAGTAAAACCAAGCCTGAGAGAGGTCCGCGTGTCTCTTATAGCACCAAGGTAGATAGTGAGTGAAAATGGGAGGTAGAAAAACGGGAGCGAGGTGAAAAGCGTGAGCGAGCACTCAGCCTAGTGATTGAACTGTCGGAAGAAAAAGTCGAGGCAAGGCGGCGGAAGATTCAGCCATCCGCAAGTGTAGCGCACGAGAAGTGCGAGGTGCAGCCCAGGGCTATAGAGAAGGCTAGCACGTGTGAAGAGCGCTGCAGGTTCGAAGACGAACCAAATGAGAGAGCTGCGAAAGGTGCTGCTCTGAGTAGAGAGGCCGACAAAGGCCAGAGCGTGTGCGACGAGGTGCGGTGCCAGTTAGATGCTAGCGAAACAGCTAGGATATCTGTAGACAGGCTGGTACAGGCCTCAACTGAGGTTGTCGCGACGATGAAACTTGCAAACAATGTGGTAGTAGGCAAGGAAACCGAAGAAAGCTCAGAAGCAGCGAAGGTAGGTAGCAGGGATATCAGTGCAGTAGCAGACAGCTCTCAGCAATGCGAGCTAGAGTGTTTGAAGGAAAGCAGCTGCACTGTTCCTAAGACCGTCAAGCTGTCCGCCAGTCTAGAGTGTGAAATAGGTGATTTTTTTGAAAATCATTTAGAGCGCGCGGTGTCGACAACTGACGAGTGCAGTGAGAGTGTTAGCGACCTTGAGCTGCGAGCGGTCTGCTCAGAGATGAGGCGCAAGAAGCGGCGCAGACGCAAGAGACGTTGAAAAGCCGCGAGAAAAAAGAACAATACTACACGTGTTAAAGAAGGCACAAAATCTTTTAGCGTAGCAGGCAAAACGAGGCGTTTCGCATCGGCATCAAAGCCTGTTTTCATGCGTGCGAGGAGCCGGATCAAAGGCAGAAAGAACGCCGTTTCCCAAACTGAATCACTTGGAAAGTGCCAGTCTTTCCGTTCTATTAACAGCAAATCTCATGGTGCGCCCTTGAGCTGTAATGCCGCCGATGACTCAACCCGCGACCGATTTCAAAGCAATTGGGGAAAGGTCGGTCGGAAACGTCGCCGAAAAAGGAAGAAGCGTACGCGAGTGACAAAGCGAAAGGGTGAAAGAGGTAGCAATCAGCCGGGCGAACGACGGAAGAGGGGGTTACCGACCAGTTCAAAGAAAGGTCCTTTGTGGCGTGCAGTAAGGCACAGACGACAAAACAGTAGGCTATGGCGAAGGTCCTCGCGACGGAATTCGTGGCAGAGGTTTAAGGCTTTCCGCGGACAAGAGAGTCGGAGGGGTCCTAAGAAAAAGGCCACAATAACGAAGCACCGCGCGGGTGCAAGCCCAAAAAGGGCGTCGTCACTCTTTTCTGCGGATCGCTGGTGTTCCCTCTGCGAACCTGACAAGGGCAGGCTGAAATCGCGAATGATGCGTGACTGCACTGTTCAGCTTGTAGCACTTGCGCGACATTGCCTCGGGCGTCCTCGAATTCCGGCAAGACCGAGACCACCACGTGTACGATTGAAGAGTGAGGGACAGCTGTAAGCTTGAGAGGGTGACACGGGAATTTACGGGGAAGCATGTTTGTTCGCTTATTTTTTTGGTTTTGAAGTAATCTTCTTTCGTCATCTTCATGGCTAGTTTGTTTGATACAGTTTTTTCCCCTTATAGATTTCTTAAAAGCATTGGAAGTGTTTTTAGTTGAGTTACAGGAAAATGGTCTACGGTTAGGTGTGCAATTGGTGTGCTATCGCTCTTTGGATGAGAGTATGATGTCGTACTAGAGCGCGCAGCAGTCATGTGCATTCTTTAAAAACATGGGCTGACATGAAACTACATTCAGCAAATGAGCGTGTTGGTACACGAGTTGCATTTCCCTTTGTTATTTTAGTATGTGCTCAGGGATCAGGTGAATTCTTTAGCTGAGCGTTATGTTATATACCGAACGTTGAAATTAGGGATGCGTTTTAAGGATTTACACAGTTCGATTTATTGAGAGTAAAGAATGCGCCCAGATAACTTGTGTATAGGGTCTGGCAGCATTCGTGTTAAACTTTGGTTGTTTCATGAAATTAGTCATGAAGTTAAATGTTAGTTACAACTCAGTAGTGCGGATGGTAGGAGAAAGCTAGTTGTGAAAGAGTGTGATTCTCGTTATATGGGGCCAAATTTTATTTGCCTTTGTGTGCTTTTCTCGCACGGCAATTTGTTCCATCTTTGGTAAGCATCTCCACGTCCATGATTGTTGGAACTTTGGCGGCACCAAATTGCCTCAAAATTTTAGCGTACAGGTTTCTCTTTTGTTTGTGTTTCTTGAGAAGCCTGGAGGGTTTTAAGCGAGTCCAATGTGCTTGACTTCAGCATGGCTTTGTGTTGTGTGGTTCGCCTTGCTGTTGTCCATCATTGTGAGCTGGTTTGGGAGTTGGTTTCGAGTTCGCAGCAGGAGGGAGAAAGCCAGGCCACCGTCCTCGTCACCAACCATTCTCTTCATGCCCAGCGGTTGGGAGCGCTGGCCATCCGAGATTTTTCCGGGCGGCGGAGAAGCCGTTAAGTTTGGCCTGGAAATTCGTCTGGGCAGACGCCATTGAGCGTAAGCCGGTCCACTGAGGAGGCTCTCAATCCCTTCGGCACACAGTCTGCCAGACGCTGTCGAAGATTTGAGTAATTACCCAAACTTAAAATGACGGGCTTAAGACGACGCCGCAGAGTGCTGGACTTCGCTCTGAACTATGTAACGGTTCAACCATCACGCTCGTGGTTTGTGAAACCACTAACCTTTCTTTGCTGTAAATATGTGTAAATAGTGCCATAAACCTGTTTTGTTTTTTGTATTCCCTTCTCGTCAGCGTTTATTTCCTCCACCCGGTTACACCACGCTACCACAAGAGACCGGGTAGTCCCCCATTCGCAACAACTGGTGGCAGCGGTGGGATGCCATCAGCAGCTTCCTCCTACTTCCGACCCTTAACAGTACATGTAGGGAACCAGAGCAACCTTGTTAGCTTTGGTCCACCGTTGGCCATACAATTTCTATTCATTTTTTTAAGCGACGGCAGTATAGAAAGTAGCCAGAGTCACATAGAAATTTAGGTTGAGCCCACAAGGCTTGTGATTGCAGGACTTCATCAATTAATTTTATTAACAAAAATCTTAAATCAATGCACTTTACAAATTTCGAATGCACAGGAAAAGTACAGCCTCTAGGTTCACAATGCCAGTACAGACGACTTGACAAAAAGTACAACTCTAAGTTAAAATCTTATCAAGTGGACCCCTTCGGCATTTCCTGCATCAGTGTCATAGAATATAACTCTGCCATAAAAATGGGGAGTGTTTCTGCAACTACCAAGTCAAGATTGTTAGACTCATACTCAGTTACATAGTCATCAATATAAACACAGCTATAACACATGTTTGTTTTAAATGCTCATCAAGAGTTGCAAAAAACAGGTCACTTAAGCATGAAGCAATACCGGATCCTGGGCACATGTCATTTTTTGCTTCACTGTAGTTTCATTTCATGTTGCATATTCGAGCTCATACAAAACAAAAGCAGCTCCCAAAGTTGACCCCGGTAGCATTTTGAAACTTTACCGTTCCCATGTATTCAATGCGTTTGGCCATATGGGCCACTAAAGAGGTATGAGGAAGGCTTTTATAAAAGTCCTTTCAATCAATTGAAAATGCCGAAAGCTTGGCAATTTTTCTGTCTTTGAGGAATTTCAACAATTGATCCGATTTCATCATCAAAAAAATATTTTTAAAAGGCAACAACTACGATTGCAAGAAATAAGCATTTCTGCCAGGTTTCATTTTCAGATATCACGACTTGCAGGACACCTTGGTTTATGCGTTTAATTGCTGAATATTACTTCCTTTGCGCTCTTTAGTCATTCAAGAGAGGCTTTCTAGACAAACTCTTGCACAACTTGTGTGCATTGAATGAAAATTTTTCAGTGAAACATCATCGTGGGTATCTGTCACCTTATAGTATGCCACACCAGTTTGTTGACAAACGCGAAACTTGCCTTCTTGTCTGCTGGGAAAACGCTTGTCTTTCAAATACTTTTGACTGCCCTTCCTGCGAGGGGCATGCACACCTTCCAGCTTCAGGCTAAAGGACCTGACTCCATGAATGTTCTTCTTACATGAATGAGCTTCCAACTAGCAAACCAAGTCACCTGCCTTCATTGAAAATTAAAAATTTAACAAAACTAATGAACCATAATGCCAAGTTGTTCCGTGTTTCATGTGTGTTTATATTAATCCGGAAGCCCAATACACCGAGAGGTAACACAGTTTAACCATAATCACCTCTGCGATTTCCAAGATGGGATCGATGGAACCATGCGGGAACTGAGGAGAAGAACCGACGAGCTGCAAAAAAAATTAAACGAACAACATTCACAACAGCATAATTATGAATAAAGAAGTGCTTTGGTGAAATATAAGCCTATTAATTATCTAGTAATTATTGCATTAAATTATATATATATATATATATATATATATATATATACATACATATACATATATACATGCATACATACATACATACATACATACATACATACATGGAAACAAAAAAGCACGCCGTACGTACAAACACTTTTAATAACCACAAACATTTCGGCTGGTGGGCCAGCCTTTGTCAGTGTGACATGTAATGCAGTTTTCGTAGCTATTATATACATTTATAAAATGTTTTGGGGCATGGGGCATGCACAATGGCAATCGGTAGTGATGTGACATGATTATACAAAAAGGCTAAATACATTCAGTGTGAAAATCACGAATCGTAAAGTGACATGGGTACAGCATCCTCCTCTTATGGTTATAGCGACATCAGTATGAGTGATTAAATGTAAGATGATGATGATATATGGTGTTTTTTGGCGCAAGGGCCATTTGATGGCCAAAGAGCGCCAGTTCACGGGACAAGGAATGTGGACAATGATTGTGATTAGCGGCTGTATAAGGGCCATAAAATTCCTCGCAGTAAGGCGGGTAAAAACATACAAGTAATAAAATCATGACCATGCCGTGAAAGGTGTGTGTGGTGTGAATAGGTGACAAAAGTTGGTGATAATGAAAAACAATGGTGGACATGTATGGCATTAGCACAAGTACCTCACTCGTTCATATCCTTGCGTCTAAGGGCCGTGAGGCAAATGCTTTGCTGTGAGGCCACCGCAGCGAAAAACCTCTCTGGAGAGGTCGTGCTATGGAATGTCCGGGTATATGATATGAAAATTATGAATTTCTTTTAAAAACGCTCACAATGATTTATGACTAAAAAGCAGTTTTCTACCAACGAACATTGCAGGGTGTAAACGTATATGTTGTCGGTAGGGTAATGGAAAATGCTGTTTTCTTAGAGTTTCTAAGTGTTTGCACTGAATTAACATGTGAAGGACTGTTAATGCTTCACCACATCTGTCACACAATGGTGGATCGCCACCGGACAAAAGATATGTGTGTGTCGTGTATGTGTGTCCTATCCTGAGTCTCGTTAGTATTACCTCTGTATGATGCGATTTTGATACTGGCAGCCAATGACCAAGGTGTGGCTTGATAATGTGTAGTTTGTTTTGTGTGTGTGTATCCCACTTGCTCTGCCAGTAGTCCCTGAGGTTTCGTTTGAGAGACGGCTTAAGATCAAGGGCCAGGATTAATATGGGTGTAGGGGCAGTGCTTTTGTGGACGGATGCAGCGAGCTGATCCGCCCTCACGTTGCCTTGGATCTCACGGTGCCCTGGCACCCAGCACACTACAACATGTTGTTTTAGTGTGTAGAGTGTGCACAAAATAGAGTAAAGTGAGACAAGGACAGGGTTTTTTTGTTTTTTAAGACTGTGCAGAGCCGTTACTACACTGAGGGAGTCTGTATAAATTACTGCTTTTTGTATTTGTAATTGTTTGAGGTGTTTAGCTGCCACAAGTATCGCGTAAGCTCCCGCTGTAAAGATACTTGTGCCTGGATGTAGAGGGCCAGCATCCGAAAAGGATGGGCCGACAGCAGCATAGGACACAGAGGGGCTGGACTTGGAGGAATCTGTAAAGAACTCGGGACATGTGTATTTGTGTTGAAGTTCCAGAAAGTATGTTCCAATATGGGCAATAGGTGCATGTTTTGTAACTTCTAGGAAAGACACATCGCAGTCTATAGTTTGCCACTGCCACGGTGGCGGGTATGCTACAGGAGCCATTAAACTGTGTTCAAGTGACACTCCAGTTTCTTCAGCTAGACCCTTCAGGCGAACTGAGAAGGGCTGCCTCATCGAAGGCCTGTTTTGAAATAGAATGGAGCTCGACAGATCATTAATAGTAGGGTATGAGGGGTGCTTCTTGTCTGCTTTCACCTTAAGAAAATATACAAAGAACATGTAAGTTCTCTGTAGATGAAGCGACCATTCATTTGACTCAACGTAAAGGCTTTCTACAGGGCTGGTGCGAAAAGCACCCGTAGAAAGGCGCATGCCCAAATGGTGCACGGGGTCCAGCATCTTCAAAGCACTTTGAGTTGCAGAGTGATAAACAACGGCCCCACAATCTAAGGGGGTGCGAATGAGGCTTCGATACAGATTCATGAGGCATTGCCTATCACTACCCCATGTAGTACGTGACAACACTTTTATAACATTCATGGCTTTTAAATATTTTGTTTTTAAATACTTGATGTGCGGTACAAAGGTCAACTTGTTGTCCAAGATTAAGCCTAAGAATTTATGCTCGGCTTTGACAGACAGACGTTGTCCGTTCAGTCGAATGTCAGGTTCCGAGTGCATGCCTCTCTTTCGAGAGAACAAGACACACATGCTTTTTTGTGGGTTAAGTTGAAATCCGTTTTCATCTGCCCATTTGGAGACCTTGTTTAAACCCAGCTGAACCTGCTGCTCACACATTGCCAAGTTGCATGACTTGAAGCCAAGCTGATTGTTGATTGATATGTGGAGTTTAACGTCCCAAAACCACTATATGATTATGAGAGACGCCGTAGTGGAGGGCTCCGGAAATTTAGACCACCTGGGGTTCTTTAACGTGCACCCAAATCTGAGCACACAAGCCTACAACATTTCCGCCTCCATCGGAAATGCAGCCGCCGCAGCCGGGATTTGAACCCACGCCCTGCGGGTCAGCAGCCGAGTACCTTAGCCACTAGACCACCGCGGCGGGGCCAAGCTGATTGTCGTCGACATATGTACAATAGAACATATTGCGGGGGATGAACAAGTGCAAGGAATTCATTTTCATGAGAAAAAGTGTGCAGCTAAGTACACAACCTTGTGGCACGCCTGTTTCCTGGACAAATGTTTGGGAAAGAAACGTGCCCACTCGGACACGGAATGTCCGGTTTGACAGGTAATTTTCGATTATGTGAAACATTCTTTCGCGCACGCCAAGGTGGGACAGGTCTCTTAGAATTCCAAAATGCCATGTTGTATCGTAAGCCTTTTCAATACCGAGGAATACAGAGAGAAAATATTGTTTATGCACGAAGGCGTCCCTGATCTGTGCCTCGATACGAACAAGGTGGTCTGTGGTGGATCTACTTTCTCGAAACCTGCACTAAAATGGGTCAAGCAAATTGTTTGTTGCAAGGATATGTACGAGTCGGCAGTTTATCATTTTTTCGAAGACTTTGCACAAGCAGCTTGTAAGTGCAATAGGCCTATAACTCGAAGGTATAAAGAAGGGTCCTTGCCCTCTTTCAAAATGGGAATAATAGCCTCTTTCCAGGAGGTAAGGATAGTGCCAGAAAACCAGATAGCATTGTACAAACAAAGTAAGGTTTTTCGTGTTTCGATTGGTAGGTTTTTTAACATTTTATACACCACACGGTCAGAACCTGGGGCAGAAGTACTGCAGGAGTTTAGAGATGTTCGCAGCTCAGCTAGACTGAAAGCTTGGTTATATGCCTCGTATCTAGTGCATTCGTGTTCGAGTTTCTGCTTTTTTATTCTTGTTCTGTATTTTTGGAAAGTGTCAGTATAGTGGGATGAGCTGGACACCTGTTCGAAGTGTGCACCGAGGAAGTTTGCCTGATCTTCCAAGGTATCACCCTGAGTGTTTACGAGTGAAAGTGTGTGTACTTGTTTTCCTGCTATCCTACCGACCATGTTCCCGACTTTAGCCTCCTGTGTGTATGAATTGATCCCTGACAAAAACTTCTGCCAGCTTTCTCTTCTGGCCTGCCGACGCGTTCTCTTGCCTTGAGACTTTATTTTCTTGAAGGTGTTGAGATTTTCAGCTGTCGGTGAGTTCCGAAGCAATCTCCATGCTCTGTTTTGCTGTTTGCACGCGTTTCGGCATTCACATTTCCACCATGGCACACGCAGTTTTCCAGGGTGTCCATTTGTTTGTGGGATGCATTTTGTTGCTGCATCAATCAAAAACGCTGTGAAGTAGTTGACAGCAACATCAATGCTCAAAGTACATATGCCACTCCAACCTAGACGAGCGATGGTATACGACTGTTCCCAGTCGGCTCTGTGTATGAGCCATTTGGGAACACGTGATCGACACTCATTTGCTGTAGTTGTGCTCAAAATTACGGGAAGTGGTCACTTCCGTACAGATTACTGATGACTTTTCATTGGAGTAGAGGCACAAGAGATGGTGATACTATGCTTAGGTCTATGGAGGAGTAGGTGTTATTAGCGGGATTATAATAGGTTGGTTCTTTTCGATTTAGGAGACACGCGCTCGACGAGAAAAGAAACTGTTCGATCAGTCAACCGCGTCATACCGAGAGTCACCCCATAGCCTGCTATGCGCATTAAAGTCTCCAAAGAGAACATAAGGCTCCGGAAGTTCATCAATTAGAGAGTGTAAATCGCGTTTTTGCAGCTGATAGCTAGGAGGAATGTAAATAGTGCAGATTGTGATCAGTTTATCAAAAAGAACTGCTCGAACAGCCACTGCCTCAAGGGATGTTTGGAGTTGTAAGTGTGTGCATGCAATTCCTTGATTCACTATGATGACAACACCTCCGGATGATGTCATGGCATCAACACGGTCCTTTCGAAAAATAACGTAATTACAAAGAAAATTTGTGTGTTTTGAATTAAGGTGTGTTTCTTGTACACACAGCACTTTTGGTGAGTGTTCGTGTAAGAGTTCTTGGATGTCGACAGGGTTTCTGAAAAGGCCCCTGACGTTCCATTGTATAATTTGAGTGTTCATAGTGAATGTAAAATAGTGCTGTGTGTACGAAAAGCGAGTGGCTGTTTAGACAGGGAGTTTGAGTTCACTTAACAGGGCCATCACCAGGCCCTGTTATTTGCTTTTTTGTTTTCTTGGCGCGCTCCAAGGAGCCACGCCGCTCTTTCGGCACCAAGGGTACCGAGTATCCATTGCCTCCTCGGAGGCACTGA